TTAAATGACCTTTCAAAATGTAGGAACTAGCCCTAGCTGGCGTGGCTCAGTGGATTGAGTGTCAGCCAGCGAACCAAAGGGTCTCTCTCCAGTTCAATTCCCAGTCTAGGGCACATGCCTGGGTTGTGGGCCAGTCCCCAGTAGGGGACATGCGAGAAGCACGCACACAATGATGTTTCTTTCCCTCTCTTTCTCCCTCCCCCACTCTAAATAAATAAATCAAATCAAATCAAATAAATCTTTTTTTTTTTAAATGTAGGGTCTTCACAGTGACATGGTGTAGGAACAAGGATTCGATTTTCCTATTTACTGATGGCCCAACACATTTTAAATAATAGTTAACTTAATGCTAAGAGCTCAGGCTTTGTAGTTAGAAAGATCTAGATTTTATCTAGGCTTGGTTATTTATTAGCTCTATGACATCAATTTCCCAATTTGTAAAATAAGGATTTATACCTAACCAAAAGAGTGGAAAATTAAAAAGCACAAGGTGAGTATAATGCTTGGCATGTTATCTGGCCTAAAATAAACATTTCATATAGTCATTATTATCAGGCATCAATTATCCCCGTTTATGGATTAAACAAACAAACAACTGAGAGTCTCAGAGGCTGAATAACTTTCTAGTAAAACTGGGCCTCAAACCCAAAGTCTGCTTCCAAATCTTTCTTCCATTATGCCAAACCACTTGCATTGCATACATGTCTGGCTTTTTAGACAGGCTACTACTCACTGCAATTTAACTTGTTTTGATTGTGTAGTAACAGATTATGATACTTTTAATCTTACTCCATTGTTTTTCCTACCGAATAATATTGGAGGGGTGGTGTGGATGACTTAAATTCATCAGTGTGGCACAGTAGTAAGGACCACACAAGAGGATGAGATGCTTGCTGTCTCTCATTGTCAGTATGCTTATCTGGGGTAGCCCCTCTCCTTCCATTTGATTTGTTGCTTTTAAATCTGCTATAAGTTGGGCTGAGAAAAGTTTTTTGTTTGTAGGATGTGCAGAATATAATAAGCTTTGAATGGAAGTTTGAGGAGGCATCCTTTAAACAAGGCATAGGTTTTAATCAGTCGTGGTCCCAGGAGGTAAGGTAGCAAACCTCAACAAGGATAATTCATGGAGGGTTTAATAAGGGAACTATAAAGAAAGATGTGGGCAGGCAGGATACTAGATAATCACAAGGGATAGTTCTGGCGCTCTGGAACTAGTGAGAGCACCTCTAAGCCCAAAGAACAAAGGAAATATTAGAACTTTCCAAAAGTAAAAGGAGCAAGTTATGTAGAAAGAACCACCCTTAGAGAAATAGCAATCTTCAACCAAGGGACACAGCCAGCCAGAGACAACACCCCTAAAAGGGAGCGGGGTAGTTAAATTCTACACCCTCAGAGGGGAAGGAAGCCTACCTATACAGTCCATGTAGCTAAGTCAGCCTCCCAAGGCAGAGAGCATGGTGTGCAAGGATGGAGAGTGGATCTAGAAGAGCAAATGGAAAGCACCTAATTCAGCCTCAGATAAATCTCTGGTTTTACTTCCACATTTCTTTATCCTAATAGGTAAGTGCCAGATAAGGAAAGAGTTACTGAATGTGACAATTCTCACCCCTTTTAAATGGTAATGCACAGGTCTTATCTACCATAAAGTATTTGTAAGCATGTTTTTCACTAGTAGCCACTGTCATTTACCATTCCACCTATAATTGTTCAGAATTCTTTGAAGGCCCAATGACTTACTTATAGGCCTTCCCCCATGCTTATGAACTTTCCACTTATCTTGCTAGGCAAAATAAAAATCACAAAAATAGCCCTGGCTGGTGTAGCTCAGTGGATTGAGTGCAGGCTTGGGAACCAAAGGGTCACTGGTTCAATTCCCAGTCAGGGCACATGCCTGCGTTGTGGGCCAGGTCTCCAGTAGGGGGTGCATGAGAGGCAACCACACACTGATGTTTCTCTCTCTCTCTCTTTCTCCCTCTCTTCCCTTCTCTCTAAAAATAAACAAATAAAATCTTTTAAAAAATCACAAAAATGCAACTACTATCAGAACCCTCAAGGATATTTAGGAGGTTATATTCTTAGATAACTAAGAAGGCAGAATAAGTTGAGTGCCACTATAGAGAAAAGAGCTGTGGTGCTGTGAAAAGTTCTGGAACAGGCTTTCTAGCCATCTGGCCCCTACCAGGCACAACTCCAGCCAGAACTCACTGTTATCCTATTAACAAAGTATAGAAGCTTCAATCACGTTCCCTGCAGGCCCAGATCTGGAGAACTACTCACCAAGCCCCCCCACAGCCTCCAAATTTCCACTGTACCCTCAGCCAACAAATCAACCCTTCCTCCTCCTGGAAAAAGTCCCACTGCTTCCTAAGGCTGGTTCAAATGGCACCTCCTTATGTGAACCTTACTTGGACCTCAAGAACATTTAGTTTATGCCTCCTCTGCATTCCCAAAAGCCTTTGCTTCAAGCATTTAAAGCACTTATTATCCCTGTACCTGTGCAGAGTCCCCACTACACTATTGAGATCTTAATGCAGCTTTGTATCCTCACAGGGGCCAAAGCAGAGTATGTCAAACACTGTATAAGTACTTTATATGTATTACCATATATTAACATATACATACTACCAATCATCATAATAAAACTGCAAATGAAGAATTCTCATCATATCAATTTTACAGACAAGGAAAGTCAAGTACACAGAAAGGTTAAGTAACTTACTCAGTCTCAAAGCTAGCAAGGATTGGACCCCAAGATTTCAACCTAGGCACAACTCCAGAACTGAACTACAACTGAACTACAGACCTAATGGGTTGAGAAGTTCTCATTATAAGACCAATGGTCTCCACCCCAGGGGGCATAGTTATTACTCATCCCCTGGAATATGGAAGAACAATATTGGAACTTCTAGTCATATTTGTTTTAGCTCAGTCTTTTGTAAAATGTCTATTTTTGCACATTATAAAATGTACATTATACAGAGTAGCCAACACTTTAACTGTAATTTAAAACAAACATTCACATAATGTGTGTATACTCAACGCTATTTACTGACAGAACACTAAAAACATTTAAGGCTACTGCTCTAGATGACTTCCCCCAGGGACTCTGAGCTCCTACATTCTCTTTGCCTAGCACTTCAGTTAAAAACATTAGCCAAATGTTTAGACTATAGGTAGCTTCCAGAAGCAAGAGTCTGCTCTTGCATTCATCTTTGTAAGCCCTACAACAGCACAGAGCCTGGTGCTTAGCAGATGGTCAATGTTGAATCTAACTGTACCATGAGAACCTCACTGAAAAAAAATCTCAATATTTTAATGCAACTTACACTATATATACTTCCAGGTTAAAAGAAAATGTACTAAGCACACTGCTTAGGTATATAAGATTGTCTTAGAAACACCAAAAAATTTTTTAATAAATAAAATTCAAATAAGTATGTCCTCATTTGTTGCATAATAGAACCAAAAAATTGTACTTTGGAGCATATCTTAAACTGAAAACTGCATTAAAGAGATTTGGACATAAAAAAATTGAGTTTGGATAAAAGGTTCTTTCACTACGGAGATGGTGCACCTTTGCAGAACTAAAGGTCACCTCTGCCTGCCTTTCTTCAGTTATAAGCTCCAAGAGGAAGGGAATCAAACTATCCAAAGCTGCAACGGAAGACTTGACTATGAAAAGGCATTAGCTGGGAGCATCTACTTTGCATTTCTTCAATCCAACATTTAGTGGGTATCAAACAAAGGAAAGAGGCTGTAAAGCCTCCCTTTTAGGTGTTGAGGATGGGCTCTGAGGGAGGCTACATTCCACTGCTGGGTTTCTTCTGTTCCAGTTTCATCCTCTGCAAAATGGGCATACTCAAATACTTAACTCTTATTTGTAAATCACCAGGATTAAATGAGAGAAAACATGCAAAATGGATTTGTTTCCTCATTTGCCATGTCTTTCCACCCTACGCCACCCCCACCCCCTAAGTTCAAAGCCTGAGTTTGGCCTATCTACTTTGTTGCTATATTCCCAGGACCAAGAATGGTACTTTTTACTTAATAGGTTATTTAATAAATATTAAATTAATAGAATGCAAAATGCCCGCTGCTCAAAAAATGTTGACTATTCTTGCTATTGTAACGAGAAAAGAATTTATTGTGTTATTAAGAGACCCCACCCCTCCCCCAAGGATCTCACAATTCCAGGAGGAACACTGCTGGAATGGAGGAATGGAGATAAGAAAACCAGCTGGATCATAAAGCAGGACTTAAACGAAAACAAAGTAAAATCTTAAATACACAACAGCCCAATGTCGGGCTTTTCCGAATGAGGTTCACCCTAAATGAGGTTTATTAGAGATTACGATGACAGTTTTCACGCTTGTGTACGTGCCAGAGTCTGTGCCAGGCATTCTACTGGCTTCACAAAATCCAAGAAACGGGGTGTGGGGGGAGGGTGGGGTAGTGGAGATGATCTTCACACCCCCACTTTACAGATGGGAGAAGCGAGGCTCGTAGAGATCCACTTAAGTGGGGGAGCCGGGATGTGAATCCTGGCAGTCCGACCTCTGAGCCTGCACTCAACAGGCCCCTCAGAGGGGCCATCTTCACCTCCTCCACAATCGGCCACATAACCCCTCGAAATTAGGAGTGTGTTAATATTTTCCTGGTAGCCCGACTTAGTGGCCCCAGTGCTGAGAGAACAAAACAATTCTTGCCTGCGGGGAAAGTACGATGGACGCCCGCCCGGCCTGAGGTCCGAGGCCGCGGCGCCTCCAGTTTGACTCACACCATGAGCCCCCAAGTCCTGCGGACCGCGCAGAAAGCGCCTAGGCGACCTCAGGAGCCCAGAAAGGCCCTGCCTGCCGCATGACCTTGGATCCGCCGCCCTGCTTCTGGCCTCAGTTTCCCCACCCCGGCCTCGCGCCGGGAGCCTCTCGGGAGCTTGCGCCCAAGGAGCCGCAGGCCTCTCACACGCCCCCCTCAGCCGCCCGCCTTCCCGCCCCACTTACGCTGGAAGGCGGCCGCTCCAGGGACGCCCACCATTGCCAAGTGCCTTGGTCGTGAGCCCCTCGCCTCTGCCCGTGGCCAGGGTCGCTCACAGACACCGTCGCGGGACCTGTAACCGCCGAGCTTGCCAACCCCAGCGAAACCGCTTCAGTTGCTGGTACCACCACCGTTAGGCCGCGCACCGCCCCGCCCCCCCGTTGGCCCCGCCCCACCCGCCAGGGACGCCCCCAGCGCGCGCTCCCTCCTGCAGACCAACGCTTGCGGAAGCCTGGCCTAAAGACCAGCTCCCTTTAAACCCCGCCCCCAACTTGCCCCGCCCCTTCCGCGTGAATCTCTGAGCCCTATCCCGGAGCGTCCTGCTTCTCAAATCCGCCCCTCCTGCGTCACGGCGCCTGTCACTCGTAAGGTCCACTTTCCAGGTACTGGGTTTCCCCGCTGAGCGCCAAGCAGCGGACCGGGCCAGGAGATGGGGGCGGAGGCCTAGGGGACAGAACTTAGGAGGGGATGAGACGACTCCTCACCTGAGTTCTGTATATTAAAGCCTGGTAGCCCTTGAGTTTATCATCGGGTAAGTCACTTTTTGGCCTATCGTGTTCCCAATGTCCAAAATGTCATTCATTATGTTAGCAACGGTTAGCTATCATTACGATCATTGAGCTCTTTATCATGTTCAGGTCCTTTTATACACTCCATCGGGTTAAATTCTCACAATAAAGAAGAGAGGTATTATTTTTCCCTTTCTGCACAAAGGGAAGGGCTTTCCCACCAGCCAGCTTGCCCACTGGCTACTCTTCGCAAAAAGCAAACATAGTTCCCCTGAAACCTATATAATTTTATTAACCAAGTCACCCCAATAAATTCAATAATGAAAAGAAAAAAGAGAACAAACTGACAGTAACCAGAGGGGAGTGGGGAGAGAGACAATGGGGGAAAATAGGGGAAGAGCCATCGAGGAACAAGTATAAAGAAAGGACACACGGACAAAGCCAAACGGGGTAGGTTCCAGGGTAGGAGGTGGGGATGGGCAAGGCAGGAGGTGGCATGGTGAAAATGGAGACAACTATATTTGAACAACAATAAAAAAATAAATAATTTTTTTAAAATTAAAAAAAAGAGAGATGGGATTCCAACCTAGAAATTCCTGACTTCAGACCCAGTACTTTGAGCTACTCTGAACTATTCTGCCTTCTAAGGACTCAGAAACAGGGACTAAAATTAAAACAAGCTCCAAACTCTTCTATGTACGATGATACTGTAAACAAAATTCTTTATGTAAAATTTATTGATTGCTTGATTTGAGAGAGAGAGAAACGTCAGTTTGTTGTTCTACTCATTTATTCATTCATTGCTTGATTCCTATATGTGCCCTACTGGAGATCCAACCTGAAGACTTGGTAAATAGGGCCAAGGCCCTAACCAATTGTGCTACCTGGCCAAGGCAACAAAGTTCTTTTACAATCAAAAAACTGGTATAAAATATTTGCAATAGCCCTGGCTGGCGTAGCTCAGTGGATTGAACACTGGCCTACAAATCAAAGAGTCACTGGTTCGATTCCTGGTCAGGGCACATGCCTGGGCTGCTGGTTCCATTCCCAGTCGGGTGCATACAGATGTTTTAAGGCAACCAATAAATGTTTCTCACATTGATGTTTCTCTCCTTCACTCTCAAATCAATAAACATATCCTCAGGTGAGGATTAAAAAAAAAAAACAAAAAGAGAAGTAAAGCAAATTAAATCCAAGGCAAGCTGATGGAAAGAAATAATAAAGGTAAAATCAGAACTCAGTTGAAGGGAGGAAACAATGAGAGAATCAATGAAACTGAAAGTTTGATTCTTTGAAAAAATTAATAAGATTGATAATCTTTTAGTAAGACTAACAATGAAAAAAGAGAGTACATAATGTATCAATACTAAGAATGAGAGAACATTATTACAGACCCTATAGATAGTGAAATAATGAAGAATTATTATGAGGAATTTTATGCCCATAGATTTGACAATTTAGATGAGATTGACCAATTCCTTAGAATATACAAACTTCTCAACAAGTTGATAATTAGAATACGCTACTTTATTAAAAAGATTAAATTTGGCCCTGGCTTGTGTAGCTTAGTGGATTGAGTGTCCGCCTGCGGACCAAAGGGTCATCAGTTCAAGTCCCAGTCAGGGCACATGCCTGGGTTGCAGGCCAGGTCCCCAGTAGGGGGCGCATGAGAGGCAACCACACACTGATGTTTCTCTCTCTTTCTCCCTCTCCCCTCTGTCTAAAAATGGATAAATAAAATCTTTTAAGATTTTAAAGTCTTTTAAGATTTTATTTATTTATTTTTAGAGAGGGAAGGGAGGGAGAAAGAGAGAGAGAGAAACATCAATGTGTGGTTGCTGGGGGCTGTGGCCTGCAACCCAGGCATGTGCCCTGACTGGGAATTGAACCTGCAATGCTTTGGTTTGCAGCCCGTGCTCAATCCGCTGAGCTACGCTAGCCAGGACTGATAAATAAAATCTTAAAAAAAAAAAAGATTACATTTGTAGTTAAGCCCTGGGTAGTGTGGCTCAGTGGACTGAGCGCCAGCCTGTGAACTGAAAGGTCATGGCTTTGATTGCTGGTCAGGGCATATACATAAGCTGTGGGCCAGGTCCCCAGTTGGGGATGTGCAAGAGGCAACCAACTGATGTTTCTCTTCCATATCGATGTTTCTTTCTTTCTCCCTCCCCTCCTCTCTCTAAATAAATAAATAAAATCTTTTTTAAAAAAGATTAAATTTGTAGTTAAAAACCTTCCAAGAGAGAAACTCCAGACCCAGAATCCTTCACTGGCTAATTCTACCAAATATTTAAGAAGAAATAATATCAATTTTATAAAGCCTGTTTCAGAAAATAAGAAGAAAAAGTACTTCCAACTCATTTTATAAGGCCAGCATTACCCTTATACCAAAACCACACAAAAATATATTACAAGGAAACTATAGACCAACATTTTTCATGAAGACATATGCAAAAACCATCTCAACAAAACATTAACTGAATCCAGCAATTTATAAAAAAGATAATATGCCAGGGTCAAATTGGGATTACCCTGCAAATGCAAGGCTGGTATAAAAACTGTGTTTACACAAAAGCTAGTACATAATTGTTCATAACAGCTTAATTCAAAATTATCAAAAACTGAAAATAATGTAAATGTTCCTCATCTGTTAAGTAAATAAACTGTGGTACACTCATTATTCAAGCGAACACTATTCAGCAATAAAAAGGAACAAATTTCTTGATGCCACAACACCACAGGTAAGTATTAAAGAAGCCAGACTCAATAGGCTACATATTCTGTGATTCCATTTGTAGGATACTATTTTTATTTTTCTGTAATATATATATTTTAAGATTTATTTATTTTTAGAGAGAGGGAAAGGGAGGGAGTAAGAGAGGGAGAGAAATATCAATGTGGGGTTGCTACTCGCACGACCCCGACTGGGGACCTGGCTCACACCCCAGGCATGTGGCCTGACTGGGAATTGAACTGGCAACCCTTTGGGTTATAGGCCTGTGCTCAATCCACTGAGCCACACCAGCCAGGGCTCATTTGTAGGATATTTTTTAAAAGGCATAATTATACGAACAGAAAATAGATCTGTGGTTACCAGATACTTATGGTAGGGCATAGGAAAATTCTGAGGTTGATGGAAATGTTGTGCATCTTAATTGTCATGATGGTTAGATGATTATATGCATTGCCAACACTTTAGAACTGTGCATTTAAAAAATGAGTGACTTTAGCCCTGGCTGGTGTGGCTCAGTGGGTTGAGCTTCAGCCTCTGACTCGAAAGGTTGCTGGTTCAATTCCTGGTTAGGGCCCATACCTGCATTGCAGGCCAGGTCCCTAGGTGGAGATGCATGGAAACCAGTGGGTAGATGTTTCTCTCCCTCTCTTTCTCTCTCCCATCCCTTCTCTCTAAGAATGAAAATAAAATAAAAAATATTTTTTAAAAAGTGAGTGAATTCCTGGCTGGCGTAGCTCAGTGGATTGAGCGCGGGCTGGGAACCAAAGTGTCCCAGGTTCAATTCCCAGCCAGGGTACGTTCCTGGGTTGCTGGCCATAACCCCCAGCAACCGCACATTGATGTTTCTCGCTCTCTCTCTCTCTCCCTCCCTCCCCTCTCTAAAAATAAATAAATAAAATCTTAAAAAAAAATAGTTAGCTCTAGACCTTCATGTATCCTAGACACCTGTAGGTCTTAGTACCTAGACTTTAAAAAAAAAAAAAAAGCAAGTGAATTTATGACAATTTTTAAAGTGCATTTAAAAGTGAAAAATTGAAGTACAATACACATATATAACAAGATGTACAAATCACAAGCATACAGCTCAATCAATTTGTTTCAGGCTTAACACCTTGTACCCACCATTCACATCAAGATAAAATTCATTTTTCACCACTCTAAAAGGCCCTGTAGTGTTTTTTTCAGTCAGTACCCCACCCAGAGGTCTCTACTATTCTGATTTTTATTACTATAGTTATATGAATGATTTTTGTTTAACTGCTTTATTGAGATATGATTCATATACCATATATTCACCCATTTAAAGTGTATAATTCAAGGCTTTTTAGTATATTCACAGAACTGTGTAATCATCACCAGAATCTAACTTTATATCATTTTCATCATCTAAGAAAGAAACCCAATACTTATTATTAGTAGTCACTCCCCACCCTGTTCTCCCCCAGCTCTTGCAGCTTTTTAAAAAATCAACTTTAGCCCTGACTGGTGTGGGTGGCTCAGGGAATTGAGCACCAGCCTGCAAATGACAGCATAGTAGGTTCCATTACCAGTCAGGGCACATGCCTGGGGTGCAGGCCAGGTTCCAGGTAGGGGGTGCACGAGAGGCAACAACACATTGATCTTTCCCTCTCTTCCTCCCTCCCCTCCCCTGTCTAAAAATAAAATAAATAAAATCTTTTTTAAAAATCAACTTTATTAAGGTACACTTTATGTGCAAAAAAACACACCAATTTAAAAGGCACAATTTGCTCTGGCTAATATAGCTCAGTGGATTAAGCACTGGACTGCAAACTGAAGGGTCATTTCAATTCCCAGTCAGAGCACATGCCTGGGTTATGGGACAGGTCCCCAGTGATGTGCTGGAGAGGCAAGTACACATTGGTGTTTCTCTCCCT